GCTGGGGGAAAGGAGATGCTACAGTGAAGCCACTTGCTAGTTGTGCAGAGAATTCAAGAGATGCACCTTTTATGAGACATCGCCCACTAGGAGGCAGGCTCTCTGCTGAGCTTCTCTGTTACTGTGAGCAAGCACTCACCCACATTCCTGTAAAGACTCCCAGCTGACTTGGTTCAGGAACCGAAGCAGAGGCCAAGGAGGAGTGCTGCTTACTGGCTTGCTCTCCGTGGCTTGCCTGTACTTTTCTTTTATACATCCCAGCACCACCTACCCAGGGGTGACACTGCCCATAGTGGACTGGGCCTTCCTACACCAATCATCAAACAAGAAAATTCCCCCACAGACTTGCCTACAGACGATCTAAAGGATTCATTTTAAGAAAAGAAAAACTGTCAGGCAGCGGTGGTGCACGCCTTTAATCCCAGCACTTGGGAGGCAGAGGCAGGCAGATCTCTGTGAGTTCGAGGCCAGCCTGATCTACAGAGTGGGATCCAGGACACACACCAAAACTACACAGAGAAACCCTGTCTCGAAAAACAAAAAAACAAAAAACAAAAAAAGAAAGAAAGAAAAGAAAAGCCACCACAACAAAACAGCACATTTGTTTTTACTACAATTTGTCTATTTTTGGATAAATCTTTTCAAATTAAAATAAAAACATATCCTTCATAATCATACTGTCATATCTGCATTGCTCTTCTATGGCCCATTGAAAAGCAGTTTTGGGGGGCTGGAGAGATGGCTCAGAGGTTAAGAGCACTGGCTGTTCTACCAGAGGTCTTGAGTTCAATTCCCAGCAACCACATGGTGGCTCACAACCATCTGTAATGAGATCTGGTGCCCTCTTCTGGCCTGCAGGCATGCATGCAGACAGAACACTGTATATGTAATAGCTAAATAAATCGTAAAAATAAATAAATAAACTGTTATTAAAAAAAGAAAAGCAGTTCTGGGTGTTTGTGACTATGTTACTACAGAGTTCCCTAACAAAGCAGGTGGACATATGCAGACTGGTTGTGTGATCTTCCTTCAGACTGTTAGCGTCATCACAGGCAACAGTCGCCTTTGCTGAACACTGTAGAAACTGGCCTATTCAATATTCTGTAGTTTGCTTTCTAAGTCTAAAGACATTCATAGTGGGCACATGTTGCACTAAATGACTCTTATTTAAAATAGCTTTGGTTAGATTTTGAAATAATGAGGTGTCTCATGCTTGGATGAAAGCTTTTTCTGTCTTTCAAACTTTCCTTAGAAAGAGCTGTTTTTAAATAGATGTGTTTTCTAACTACAGGCCCAATTTCTCCAGCTTGATTTGTGCCAAGATGTTTTTAAATGAGCTCCGTGGTTATTTTGTGAGGCCAGACATCATTTATACTGCCTCCTCCTCCCTCCCCACCTCTTCATTTGAAGGCACAAGCTTACCTTTCATAGAGTAAGACAACTCCATATTTATGGAGTGAAACACGTGTTAGGCCTTAGCATTTCCCTATCGATCCATCTGGGGTACAGAAGCATTTGTTCCAGCCTGTGCTCCTTGAATCGGAGGTGACACCTGATGTTTTTAAAGGGGACGGTTGGAGTCAACCTGCTCAGATATTCCACTCTGCGGCTTCTGTGTGGTTACACTTTGTTACACCAAGGAAAAGAGCATCTAAGTCTGTCTTGTGTCACTAAACACTCCTCTGGAAAGTCCACTAACATGTCTGGCTGCTCACGCCTGACTGCAGAACACACTCGGCATGGGGTGTTTTCTCTTTATGTTTGTCAGAGGATGTTCTATGAATCTTCAATGTTACAGGCAGGGGTGTAAACCAGTTAGCATTCATGAAGCCCTGGGTTCAGTCTGCAGCACATCTTAAGCTGGATGTGGTGGCACCTCTCAACACTTGGAGGCAAAGTGTGTGTGTGTGTGTGTGTGTGTGTGTGTGTGTGTGTGTTGTCAGAAGTTCAAGGTTAACCTCAGGTATGTAGTGAGTCTGAGATGAGCCTGGGCTACAGGAGGCCCTGTGTTCAAAAAAATGTAAATAAAAATTAAAAAGGAGAAAAGTCTTCTAAGGTTAATAATAACAGCTGGGAATTGGAAAGGCTAGATCAAGAACTTGAATGCTACAATTTTAAGATGGAAAATCAATTTCACAATTTTTGGATGGTCATTAAGGAGAGGAGAAATGGATTCCTTGTTCAGAGAGGTCTGTGCCGACAGTTTGATGCAGATGGGGGCCCTGGGTTGCTTACAGGTTGCTAGGAATGTTGTTTGGAAAGGGGTATGTGCATAAGTCAAGCAGGTATATCTTGGTTACTTTTCTATTGCTGTGAAGAGATCACGATCAAGGCAACTTAGAAAAGAAAACATCGCCGGGCGGTGGTGGCGCACGCCTTTAATCCCAGCACTCGGGAGGCAGAGCCACGCGGATCTCTGTGAGTTCGAGGCCAGCCTGGGCTACCAAGTGAGCTCCAGGAAAGGCGCAAAGCTAC